AGATGAGCTTAACGAGGTCGTACTGGCGTATTCGTGACCACTATCAGTCGTCACGGTCCTTCTGTTTTCTGCGTCCCCAGGGGATCTAGTATGAGTACTTCCTAAATTAACCACCAGAAATGATACACTTCTTCCATTTTTTTCTCCAACTCGGGGAAAACGTTGTTTCCTACTAATGCGTTTCACGAGGAATTATGAGATGTGCGACTTATCTTAAGAGACTCCTCCATTTCCTGAAGGACCTTGCACTCATACTTCTTACTCCGGCGTCTTGTTGTCCTCTCTGACTCCTGCCTTAACGTTGTTGGATATGGGGTTAAAGCAACAGAAACATAAAAAATAATGACAAAGGTGAGCAAGTGCACGTAAAACCAAGAGCTCCACACCACACATACGAGGTAGCGGCGTGTACGCGCGAGCACGCTCTATCGTAGAGCAACAAAAGAACGGCAAAAGATCGACGGTCAGATTGCATAAGAGTGGTAACCAATGATGTGTCAGAACTGTTATCTCCACGAATCGGTATTGCTCCTATATCTACTCCATGCCAATTACTATTAAGAAGGAACAATATAAAACCTGACTAGATAGAATAGAATAGGTTTATTGTAGCGCCCCTTGGGCACTGTCAGTCCCCTTTGAACTCAGGAAAAAAACCTAAAACAAACTCGTCAATTTCAACTGCACATTGACTTCATTTGCTTCGGGTGTCTGGTTAGCCAAAAGAGCGCGAATTGAGAGTTTGTTTAAAGTTAAAAAAACCTCAGTTCTAAGGGAAAATAATAACAAAATTTTCAAAAAATAACGATATGTACAATATAAAAATTGAAGTTTGCAGTTTGGTCGTTTTCGGGGGCATGAATAATATGTCCTTCATGGCAATTGAAGAACTTTGATATCAGTATGACCTTGAAATTATTTTCCTGTTGGGTAAATTTCGGTTTGCTCTAGTTGCTGGTTGTCAGTCTATCTGGCCAGCTGTAGCGACCCTGGCCGAGATGAGGGTTAATAACGCTATACTATGCCCCGTCAGGTCCCCAGTAAGAAAGGAAAGGCGAGCTCCTAAGGGGGACAATTATTTGTAAACGATAGCAGACGATATTGACAGTTTGGGAACAGCAGGATGTCCTATGGCGAGGACAGGCTTGTTTGGATGCAAGCCTCGTTTGATCCGGGCGGCGAAGACGATGCAGTAGCAGCGGTGGCTTCCAGAAGGAGTCCTCCGGTCCAAGGTTGGTCAGCTTCAATCCTCCTCGGTTTTTATAGGGCCTCCAGACGATTGGGATAGGTTCACATAAAAATAGGCCAATGGACATGCGTAAATCAATTGCAAGAATACTAGAATGTAAATCGTAGCCAATAGAATCTTCGGGACCGTTTTTATAGACATTCTGGCCTAAACTGGTCTCTACTAGATCGCTGATAGGCAAACCGAAATACCCAATGGTTAGTCGAAAACTATTGACTTAATTTGGCGAGATCCAATGAGAACGACAGTTAAAAGTGTCCTGGACCAATAGAATTGGAGAATCTAAAATGGCAAACTTGCGTGTGCCATCCAATGGGAACGCCGAACTTTGTACTGGCAATTTGTTATCCATCTTAGCCTAGCTAGCGAAAACGAGGAAACTTTTGCTCCATCTTTACATCACTCCCTCCTCCATAGAGACGTCGCTGTCCTCAGCGATTGCTGTGCCCTCGTTTTGACTGACGTCATGCAGCATTGACCTGTGGTCTTCGACATTGTGCCGCCTGTCGCTAAAATGTACTTCAAACTCGTCCCCACCCTCAGGTGGGATTTCAACGATCCTTCCAACTTGGTCACGATCGACATCACAGGCGGTATTTCCTTGATCTTCGGAACCAAATGCATCCGGTCTCTCTCCCAGCTTTAGTCGATTAAAATGGACGGTAATTTCCGCCGCGAAAGGTCGCTCGCGGTCCTGAATCACACAGGTCGTGTCAGAGATCACCTTGGTTACAGTGTACGGACCAGACCAGTCTAACACAAATTTACTCGGTATTCCTTGCGGGGCTGTATGTTCTCTGAGCCATACGATGTCACCAACAACATATGGGCACCCATGAGCGAGTTTGTCATAATGGTCCTTCTGTCGGTTTTGGGATCCACGTAAGTGTGTTCGCGCTTCCTCGGCTGCAATACGCAACTTATTATGTAGCCTGGTGACATAGGAATTTACTGGTACTTGGTTATTCTCCAGTGGTACTTGGAGGTCTTCCGGTATCCGCATTTCCCGACCACAGGTGAGAGCGAACGGCGACTGCTGGGTCGAGGAGTGAATCGTGGAACGGTATGCGAGCATGCATGGGGTAAGGCATCGTCCCACGTGAAGGGTGCCTGACGATCAACAAAGGCTTTTAACAATCCGATTAGCGTTCTATTCGTTCGCTCAACTTGTCCGTTACCCTGCGGGTGGTAAGCAGTAGTGCGTGTCTTATTGATCCGTAAGTACTTACAAAGACTGTGAAGAATTGCGTTTTCAAATGAACTTCCTCGATCTGAGTGAATTTGGTCTGGGGCTCCCCATCTACATACCCAACCATTAAAAATGGCCTCAGCGACCGTTTCCGCCGACATATTGGGCAATGGTTCCACCTCAGCCATTTTCGTAAAGAAGTCCACCATGACCAGAATGTAACGGTTGCCCCGGACTGATGGAGCTATGGGTCCAATGATGTCAACGCCAACGAGTTCGTTGGGGTAGCCTGTCAAGATTGGTTGAAGGGGCGCTCTGTTCAAGTGAGGTGGCGGCTTTAGTTGATTACACAAGTCGCAATACCGAATAAAATCCCACACATATCGTCTTAAGTTGGGCCAATAATATCTCCTCCTTACAGCCCACTCGGTCTTATGGATTCCTACGTGCCCTAGCTGAGTGTGTATTCGCGTGAGGACATCATCGGTCATGGATAACGGTAGAACGATACGTCGGGGATACTGATCACCGTCGCGGTAGAACAATACCCCATTATCTAGAAAAAGCTTATCCCACACCGTGTGCAGACAGCGCGTCTCGTAACTTAAACCCCGAAGCTCGGGTCCACTCAAAGGCCGCGATTCGCCTAGCTTTCTGTAGTAGATGGGGCCTATATGAGGATCATCGCGCTGAGCCTGAGCCCAAAGGCTGCTCTGGTCATCATGAAGTGTTATGCTGCCGATGCTAATGTCTGTGCAAGACGGGCATTCACCGTGGGGACGATACGGTTTCCTCGAGAGGGCATCTGCGTTGTTATGCTGGCGCCCTGGCCGATGGTTACAGTCGAATTCAAACCCCGCCAGTCGCTCTTGCCATCTCGCGACCTGACCCTCGGCATTTTTAAAATTGCGTAGCCATGCCAAGGAACTGTGATCGGTTCGGACGAGAAATTTTCGGTACTCCCAGAATGGCCGGCACTCTTCGATGAAGAAGGTGAGCGCAAGCATCTCCTTCCTGGTTACGCAGTATCTTCTTTCTGCCTTGGTGAGTGACCGACTTAAATACTGGATTACTCGTTCAGTGCCGTCCGCCTGCCGCTGAGACAGCACCGCACCAATCGCAGTCTCGCTGGCATCTGTGTCGAGTACGAAAATGCCCGCTTGGTCGCTAATGTCAGGAAAAGTCAAGACAGGACTGGAACAAAGGCTATTCTTAAGGGTTTGGAAGCTAGCTTCACATTCTGGGGTCCATTTAAATCTGACTCCCTTCTGCGTGAGTTTATTCAACGGCGCGGCTATGTGGGCATAATCTTTAATGAACTTTCTGTAGTACGAAGCCAAGCCAGAGAAACTTCTGACCTCTGCTACGTTATTAGGTGTGGGCCAGTCCCTAACCTCCTTTACCTTATCTTCGTCCGTTTCGATACCCGATTCGGGCACCACATGTCCTAAGAACTTTACTTTATCTCGAAAGAAGACGCATTTTGCTGGTTTGAGGATAAGGCCTGCCTGCCGCAGGCTGCTGAATACTGATTGTAGGTTTTGTAGGTGGTCTTTGAAATCCTTCCCGAGCACGATGATGTCGTCTAAGTACACCAAACAAGCCTTTGGAATAAACTAGGCAAGGACTTGGTTCATGAGCCGTTGGAATGTGCTGGGCGCATTGGCTAACCCGAAAGGCATGGTTTCAAACTCGTATAGACCAGTGGGTACCGAAAAAGCTGTTTTCTCACGGTCAGATGGCCTTACTTCTACCTGCCAGTATCCGGCCGCCAGGTCTAGAGTAGTAAAAACTCGATTACCTGAGAGAGCATCTAGGGTTGCATCGATACGAGGTAATGGAAAGGAGTCTTTAGTTGTCAACTCGTTTAATTTACGGTAGTCGACACATAACCTCAAGGATCCGTCCTTCTTCATGACTAATACAACTGGAGAGGACCAAGGAGAATTAGATGGCCTGATAATCCTTCGGTCGAGCATGTCATCTATCATTGCCTTTAATTGTGTCTGGTAGAATACCGGCAATCGTCTAGGCGGAATTTTAACTGGCCGGGCCGTACCCGTATCAATTTCATGTTGAGCAACATTGGTTCGCCCGAGTGAACGGCCGTCCCAATCGAAAATGTCCTTAAACTCGTGTATCAAATTATATAAACTGGTCGAACATTTCTTATCCAAGGTAGGTGGGATTAGGCTTTCTATACATTCTAGCTTGACCGTGTTAACTTCTGGTTGACGGAGAGGCATCTCGAACGTAAGTGGTACTTCAGTACCGCTGACACGGAGGGCGTTAACGTTAAAGTCGAGAGAACATTTAAATGCATGAAGAAAATCTGCGCCTAATATACAGTCCCATGCTATGTCACAGCAAACAACAAACCTATGATTAAATACAGCACAACCTAGCTCTATCCCAAGTTCTACCATGCCTACATGCCGTAAGGTGGTGCCGTTAGCCGTTTTCAGGCAAACTTTGAGTTTACTACAATATCTAACTTTCGTTTGTAACTGGCGAAATACGTGATGCCTAATGAGGGAGCAACCTGCCCCTGAATCAACTAAGCATGGAAATCTAATGTTACTTATAGATGCATTTACGGTAGGGCAATAAGGCATAGAACCTATGTTTGCAATCAATAAATCAGATAAAATTACTAACTTACCGTTCTCTTCTTCCTCACCTGCGGTGATCGTATGAACACCGGGCATGTATTGAGGGCGAGTCCAACGACCGCGTTGGACCCTCCAGTTTCCACGCCGAGGAGTAGGTCGCTGGCCATATCGAGGGGTTGACGGTGGTTGAGGGTCCCACTGCCATCTCGCTGTTTGCGTCCCGATGTCGCAGGTCGGTCGCTGTCCCATGGCGAAGACATTGACCATCTGGCCTTGTGCAGAGGCAGTTTGAAAGCGGGGAGCCGCGGCCACTGGGAAAGAAGGTCCGGGGGATGAGGATAGCGCGGTGGAGACCACTTCTTCATCGCGGGCGATATCGAGTGCCGCTTTGAGAGTTTTGGGTGGGTCCAGCATGAACTTGCGACGAACGTCGGGGTTGGCAACACCGTCGACGAAGTTATCGCGAATCCTGTCTTCCGGGGCAGCGCAAGAGTCATCTGGATATGCGTGTTTGGCCAGAACACGCAAATGTCGCTGGAAGTCGACCACGGACTCTCCAGGATGCTGGCGACGGTCCCTCAGTGTTGCGCGAGCAACCCATGGCATGGAAGAGCGACCGAACTCTCGTCGAAGACGCTCGAAAATTGTCGCGGTAGTCAGCGAAGGAGTGATGTTGGCCGCTCTGGCAACGGCGTAAACCTCACTGTCCAGTTGGCCAAGGATGACCAGTGATCGGTTCCCTTCGCTGACGGACTCGAGGTACAACTTCATTCGGTCCTCCCAGAGGTCATAATCGTCATATATCGTCAGTTTCTCTGGCTTTGGAAGTTGGTCCCCATTCGAAGACAACTTCTCAATCGCCTTGACGAGTCGGTCCAAAATTTCGTCTGACATAACGCAATCCCACCGACTGTCACCAATTAGTAGCGACCCTGGCCGAGATGAGGGTTAATAACGCTATACTATGCCCCGTCAGGTCCCCAGTAAGAAAGGAAAGGCGAGCTCCTAAGGGGGACAATTATTTGTAAACGATAGCAGACGATATTGACAGTTTGGGAACAGCAGGATGTCCTATGGCGAGGACAGGCTTGTTTGGATGCAAGCCTCGTTTGATCCGGGCGGCGAAGACGATGCAGTAGCAGCGGTGGCTTCCAGAAGGAGTCCTCCGGTCCAAGGTTGGTCAGCTTCAATCCTCCTCGGTTTTTATAGGGCCTCCAGACGATTGGGATAGGTTCACATAAAAATAGGCCAATGGACATGCGTAAATCAATTGCAAGAATACTAGAATGTAAATCGTAGCCAATAGAATCTTCGGGACCGTTTTTATAGACATTCTGGCCTAAACTGGTCTCTACTAGATCGCTGATAGGCAAACCGAAATACCCAATGGTTAGTCGAAAACTATTGACTTAATTTGGCGAGATCCAATGAGAACGACAGTTAAAAGTGTCCTGGACCAATAGAATTGGAGAATCTAAAATGGCAAACTTGCGTGTGCCATCCAATGGGAACGCCGAGCTTTGTACTGGCAATTTGTTATCCATCTTGGCCTAGCTAGCGAAAACGAGGAAACTTTTGCTCCATCTTTACACAGCTGTAAGGGGGCGGTCGCGCAGTTCCTACGTATTTTTCAGGAGGCTTACCATCGTTGTCTGGACTAAGAGCTGGAAAAGATGAATATATATCAGGAGTAAGAAGCATTCAATAGTAAGTCACAATCAAAACTGTCAAAATACTATTGAATCATGTATCATATTGTTCTTGTTAATGTGAAATTATAGGAGTAGTGGTCGACTGTTTACTATGACCTAATATAGTTCTATATATGTTTAATATGGCTTTAATATAGACATACGCACGACTAATATGCAGGGTTTTATCGAAGGGTATATTTTTATTAGCTTTATAAGGGATATTTAGTGTCAGGTGACATAGCTGATGAAAACGAGAAAGGGAGGAAAATAGAGGAATATCATTATCTGTTCTATGTTAATCAATGATGCTATCTTTTATAAATTTGATTATTTTTAGTGCTATGTTCCGGTATTTTTCAATCGGCTGGCGTCATCAGAGCCCTTTTGGACCAAATTCAATATCAAAGAATTGACTTGAAAAATGTCCTATCTTATTCAAAAATAAATGTGTATTGTTATCTGAAAGGAATTTCTTAGTTTTTATTTTAAATTCGATTAGGGTTCGACTTTTCCGGATATAACCTGGAAGAGAATTCCAGATAGTCGCATATCTTATGGTGTAGAAATTTGATCGTTGGGACTTTGTGAATTTGGGAATCTTTATAATATCCTCGCTATTTCTGGTGTTTCTAGGGGCGTTTTGGTTGGTAAGTAAATTCATTTTGAGAATATCTTGATCGTGGGTGACCTTGAATAGGAAGTTTAGACCATTTTGAAGTCTCCTGATCCAGAGTGGTCGAAGACCGTATTTATGATATAGTTCTAAGTATGAACCCTGGATGCCATCACTTCTAGACAAAGATCTAGTAAACCGTCTCTGAATGCCTTCTAGTTTCTTTCGACCGTCTGAGGGCATTATGCCGAAGAAAACTGAACAGTAATCTAGGAGAGGTAAAACATACATTTTGAACAGTTGTATTCTTAGTGCATTTAAGGTGAAATTTTTACATATAAATCCACACAGGCGAGTGGCTTTCGGTGATATTTGTTGGACGTGGGGAGATAAATCAAGGGTATTTGTATAGCTGAGACCTAAATCTTTTACAGATTGGGACTCTGTTATTTCATCATCCTCGAATATTATGGGGGGAAGTTTTTGTGGGCCAAATATCAGGAGATGGCATTTTTCGGGTGAAAAGGGCATCTGCCACTGACTACTCCATTCGCTGAGTTTTCTGAGATCAGTTTGAATTGTTCTATGAATATTGGCTACTGTATTCCCGTTATATGCATATGCAATTTTAAGGTCGTTCGCATATAAAACGTCTTAGCTGAGACAGATATGGACGATAAGTCGTGAATATATATAAGAAATAGAAGGGGGCCTAGGATAGTGCCTTGAAGTACTCCACTGGTAATAGGGGATGGTTCTGAAACGACGTTTCGAATTTGCACCACCTGGTATCGGTTTTGAAGATAAGATTTAAGAAAATCAAGAAGGGGTGGCCTAATTCCATGACTTTTTAGCTTTATCAGTAGTCTTTTATGGGGGACTTTGTCAAAGGCCTTTCTTAGATCGAAGTATATTGAAGCTACTGTGTTTCCATCATCTCTATCCCTAATAGCAAGCGAGCTCGCCGCGAGCTAACGTACTCTAGGGGGGTAGCGGCTCTTTAGCCTGCTCGTGATTTGATTGGTTCCTGGGTCGGCAGCGCCGACGACGCGAAGGGCGCAAGCGGCCGCGCATACTTGCACTTGATTATCGATTAGCCTCGGCGGCCGATAACCCTCCGGCTCTCGCCGGTGCCACTTTTTGCTTTCTCACGCTGCACTGCGCACGCCGTGTCCCAGTCAACGCTGCCATTGACTGTCTTTGCCTTATATCACTCTTCTTGGTGTTCTCTGTGCTCCCATTTTTCTCACAATAATGTTTGCTCCTGTTAATAGGCGTAAAATACGGCGCCAAGCACTTAAGGAAGCAGAAGAAATTATACGAAGAATCAACGAAGAGATGGGTGAAATGCCGTCGTCGGACACATCATCCGATAGCTGGTCTGAAAGCGACACGGATGATTCTCTGTCCTCAACTTCTATGGCAAATGAATGCTCTTCTTCCTCGGAGGGTACGAGTGAGCCTACGGAAGAAGAAGTTGGCTTAACGGCAGTAGTTGAGGAGGAAGTTCCAAGTCCTCGTGAAAGTTTGCGAAAGTGGGCTTTGCGGTCTAAGATTCCGCATTCCCACTTGAACGATCTCCTCAAGGCTCTGAAACCGTGGTTGCCTGACCTACCTGCTGACGCACGAACACTGTTGGGCGCAAAATACTTCTCTGCACCGAGCACGGCAATGGTCAGCGGTGAGTACGTGCATTTGGGTCTTCCCACTCAGGTTAGCGCTCAGTTGCGTAATTTAGCTCTCCCCCCTGCGGTAGATGAAGTCGTTGTGAGCCTAGCAATAGACGGTCTATGGAAGACCAAACGTGAATTTTGGCCTATTTTAGGCAGAATTAGGAAGCCTATATTAAGTAATGTCTTCACTGTAGGTATATATTGTGGAGTAGGTAAGCCGTCGGACGTGCAGGCGTTCTGCAAACCACTCGTCGACGATTTAATGTCTTTGAACGAAGACGGTTTGCTGCTAGATGGTGGTGACAGAAGTCTGCGCTTCCGTCTGGCTTCCGTCATCTGTGACGCTCCAGCAAGAGCTTTCATAAAGCAGATTAAGAATGTCAGTGCTTACTATGGCTGCGAACGTTGTTGCGTTAAGGGGGAGTACATCGATAAGATAGTTTATGATAGTGTTTCCGAACATGCTAGGACAGATGAGGATTTTTTTTCCAGGGACGATGACTGCCACCGCATTGGCGTATCGCCATTGCTGGCATGCAACGTGGGAATGGTAAGCTCATTCCCTTTAGATCCTTTGCATTTGGTTTACCTCGGTGTAATGAGAAGACTGCTCAACTTGTGGCTGCGCAGCCCTAGGGGCAGTGCATATAGGCTGTCTACATCGGAGGTATCCACTGTAAATAAGAACTTGCGCGCGTTGAACTCGTACCTACCGAGGGAATTTTCACAGCGCGCTAGGTCATTAAACGACCTGGACACGTGGAAGGGCACAGAACTGCGCCAATTTTTGTTGTACACTGGCGTAGTTGTTCTTTATGGTGTGCTTCCACGCAAGTTTTGGAAGCACTTCTTACTGCTTTTTACAGCAGTACGCTGCCTAGTGCGGCCTCGCTCTTGCAGACACTGGGTCCCGTTTTGTAGCCGCATATTACGCATGTTTGTTGATAAATTTGCTTCTTTGTACGGTAGGAAAGAAATGGTGTATAATGTTCACAGCATTGTGCACTTGGCGGACGATGTAAAACGACATGGTCCGCTGGACGCTTTTTCATCGTTCCCCTTCGAACGTTACCTAGGTAGGTTAAAGCGTCTGCTGAGGAAACCATCCCAGCCACTGCAACAAGTAGTGCGTAGGTTAGGGGAATTGCAGTCAGTGCCAAGTGATGTCCACCTTCAGCTGGAGTGGACGTGTAAACAACACTAAGGATGTGTTCAGTCATCTCGGTCGGTTGGGGGATGGTTCCCTCTTCGACTGTGTATTTAGCTGAGAAGTATCTGTTGAGTAAGTTTACTATTTGTTTATCATTGGTTATAACTTGCCCTAATTCATTAATAATAGTTCGTGGTCCTGACTGTCGATGATTACTCATTAGTTTCTGAAACATCTGAGCTGTTCGTTCGGGGGATTCTAGTGCCCGATGTTCTGCTGCTATGGTCTTTTGTGTTTCCATTTTCGTGACTAGGTCGTGAATTTCCCTAATTCGTCGAAGTGTGGAAAAATAACTCACAGAGGGGTCGCGTAGATGTTTTTGTAGCTTTTTTAGTTTAGTTGAAAGGAAGTTCGGGATTGGTGATTTCTCATACGGGAGTCTTTCGTCTATCAAGGTATCTCGAATAACAAATAGGACAGAGTACAATAGGTTAACTGCTTCCATAGCGGATGTTGTAAGAAGATATGGGCTCCAGTCCAATGATCTAATATAGTTGTTCATGGAGTCCTCGTCAAGTTTTTTTGGGTTTAGGCGGGTGTTACCAAAATGGGGTGCTATTTTTGCGTTTAAGGGGAGTGTTGATATTATTGCTTTGTGGTCACTTTCAAAGGTTGCGCAGTCGTAGTGCATATAGAGGGGCCAGATATCGTTGGTGAAAATAACGTCTAGTATATTGATTCCTCGGGTGGGTTTGTCAACTATCTGTGTCCAGTTATTAAAGATAATTGAAGACAAGAATTCTTCGTGCTTGGTAGGTGCTGATAATTCGACCCAGTCTATTTCTGGGCGGTTTAGGTCGCCTGTAATTATCTTATATTCAGTTTTTATGTTAGCTATATTACTTATTAAGAGGTTGAGGCTTGTGTCATCACTACTACATTCTGGAGGGGAGTAGAGGCATCCGACTTATATGTTTTCCTGGGCATGAGATTTTATTGTGGCAAAACACGCTTCTCCAGAAAAGGTTTCGGTTGGGACATCAATACCACTTTGCTCAATGGTAGTTTTGATGTAGATAAGACAACCTCCGCCTCGTTTATTAACACGGTCCTGTCGATAGAAATTATAATTTGGGACATATAGTGAAGCATTCGATATAAGCTCATTTGCCCATGTTTCTGTAATGCAAATTACATCGGGGTTATATATTTCAACAAAAGTTCTAAGTTGGGACATTTTGTTTTCAATCGATCTGGAATTTATAAGAGCTATCTTTAGGATGTTGGATATGGAAGAGGTGGGCTCTGGTGAATAAAAGGATTTCTGGGGGTACTTTGAGTGAGTGATGGACTAAATGGAGGTAGGTGTGTGATTCTCGGAGGATATGGTTATGCGTATGGCGTAGTGTGAGTGCATGGGCTAGTGTGTATGGACTGAGGGTACATATGGGAAGGTGCGTTAACTAGGTGGTAATTGTACCTAAATGGAGTTTCAGTTGGGGAGGTGTAAAAGCCAAAGTAATTTGAAGGGTTGTAATTAGGTGGTAAGGAGTTTGCAATGCTAGAGTGATTTGGCTTATTCCTATGCCATGCAGGTGGATTTTGGGGAGTCGAGATGCGGTTAGAGAAGCTTGTTTGTTTTTGGTTAGAGCTTGGTGGGCTTCTATTTGTTATGTCAACATACCTAGGGCGTTTTGGTTGTGTTGGTGTGCTTAGTAAGGCCTTTTGGTTTATGTGCCTTGTTTGGTAGTCGTTTTCTAGTACTGACTGATCGGTCTTGGGGGATGTAGTAAAACTTATAGTGCTATCTAAGGGTGTCACATGACTCGGTCCGGGATCTGCATCATCGTTTTGTTCTGGTTGAACGTTGTTATTTTGTTGTGCCTTCCTCGTTTGTTTCTGACCAGAAGTTCTAACTGTTTTTGCAGTTGCGCGTTTTTTATCATGAGAACTAGAGTCAGACGTACTTGCTGGAGGTCCTTCTGCGGGGGCTGTGGGTTTATCATTTGGTTTGCGCTGGCCTGTGTATTTCTTTTTATTAGTGCTAGAAGTAGAAGTAGTGGCTAAAGGTTCAGTTGAGGGACCGGAGTGCTGATTATCGTATTTGTAGCTGGTGTCTTTTTCCCGTAGTTTACGTCTTTGCATAGGTGTCAAATCTGGACCTATAAACGAGTTTAGGTTCCGCAGATTTCTGTTTACTTGGGGATTTTGTAGGACAATCTCAGCTTCCGCCTGTGAGTAGAATGTTACTAAGACGGGTTTGTTTTTGCTTCTGGAGTGAAGTCTTTTAGTGTTAGCTACTCTGATATTTAAGCCACACGAGTGTATAAAATTTTGAATTGATGGCATCGGATTAACAGTGTGGCGTATATTACGGATAATTAAATTGAGCCTGCGCTTCGATCTATCCGCGACTTCTGACGAAACTAAGTGTATAATCAATTCAATTTTTGGTAGGCTCGTTAGGTTGTTCGTGAATCTATTTGAGTCTGTTAGTGAATCGAGAATCGTAAAAATATGTTCATGTTACTCGATGAACTTCTGTAAACGGACGATGGCGAAAGATCTACTTTGTCAACAGCAAACGTAACATCAGTCATGGTTAAATGGGGAGAGTGTAATGGATTTATGTGTTATTTTCGACAGCTAATAAAAATCGACGCAAAATCGACAGAGAAATATGTCAAATATTTCAGTTATAAATGAATTTCAACTTATCTCGAGTCTAAGGATTTTGAACGGTTGTGCACAAACGGGCTCGTTAACCGTTATTTTGATATCTCTGATTGTGACTTACCAATGAAAGTTTCCTGCTCTTGATACATATTCGCCATATTAAACATATATAGAACTATATTAGGTCATAGTAAACAGTCGACCACTACTCCTATAATTTCACATTAACAAGAACAGTATGATACATGATTCAATAATATTTTGACAGTTTTGATTGTGACTTACCATTGAATGCTTCTTACTCCTGATATATATTAATCTTTTCCAGCTCTTAGTCCAGACAACGATGGTAAGCCTCCTGAAAAACACGTAGGAACTGTGCGACGGCCCCCTTACAGCTGGCCAGATAGACTGACAACCAGCAACTAGAGCACACCGAAATTTACCCAACAGAAAAATAATTTCAAGGTCAGGCCGATATCAAAGTTCTTCAATTGCCATGAAGGACATATTATTCATGCTCCGTAAATCTACCAAACTGCAAACTCCAATTTTTATATTGTACATATCGTTATTTTTTGACAATTTTGTTATCATTAGCCCTTAGAACTGAGGTTTTTTTAACTTAAAACAAACTCTCAATTCACGCTCTTTTGGCTAACCAGACACCCGAAGCAAATGAAGTCAAAGTGCAGTTGAAATTGGCGAGTTTGTTTTAGGTTTTTTTCCTGAGTTCAAAGGAGACTGACAGTGCCCAAGGGGCGCTACAATAAACCTATTCTAATCAAGCCAAAGTTGCCATCTCTACACCACTTTTGCAAAGCAGATACTCAGGGCAGAAGGGGTTGAATGAGATGAGATTCCTCAACCGGATCGAAGGCCTCAATGCAAGCACCGATGAATGCCTCTTGTCTTTTGATGTCGTTGCGTTATTTTCATCTATACCGTACGATTTGGCAATTGAATGCGTAGCCCAACGGTAACAAGACGATCCTGTTGGTATCCCAACGCAGCACGTCACAGACCGCTCAAACTCTGCCTTAAGAATTATTGTAATTTAGACAATAAGGGCTACCAACAGGTGAAAGGAAGTCCACTGGGCTCCCCAATATCCGGCCTACTCGCCGAACTAGTGCTACAGCGACTGGAACATGAGGTTTTTCAAACTGTCAACCCCAATTGTGGCTGCGCTATGTCGACGACACCGTTGTCGTTATAAAGAACCGCGAAGTCAAAAGGCTACATTAGAGACTGAGTAATGTCTTTCCAGCCTTACAATTTACCCGCGAAGAGGCAGTAGGAGACAGTCGGTCGTTTCTGGGCGTAAAAATACAAAGGCTGGACGACGGTAATCTCGGAACCAGCGTCCATAGAAAAGGGTCTGATTCTGAGATCATCCTCAATTATGAAAGCAATCACCCTGCGGCTCATAAAAGAAGCATCATCCGAACTCTCTTCCACCGTGCCTACCGTTATTGCAGCAATGACGATCTGCTTAAGAAAGAACTAGGTTACCTATATCGGCTATTTCGATCCAACGGATACCCGATCAGTTTTGCAAAGAACTGTCTCAGGCTTCAGGCACAACTTTGAGGTCCCTCCTCAGATGTAGAAACCGTGACCCAGAAATTCTTCTCCCTGCCCTACATGCAGGGTACCTCAGAAATGATCGACAGCGAAATCAGTTCGGTATCCGCGTTTCCCACAAGCCTGCATCCTCGCTGCGCACAATCTTAACTCGAGTAAAGGATTTTATCCCCAAAGAGGAACAGACTATCATCATCTATCGCATCTCGTGTGCCGATTGCCCCAGCGTATTTGTTGGTCATACAGGACGACGCCTGGGAACTTGAATTAAGGAACACAAACTTGCTATCCGTCGCCGTGACCCACCGTCCCTCGTCTTTGCACACGCACTCCAGTGCGACCACCGTTTTAATTGGGATAACACCGAGGTCATCGCCACGGCCAACACAAAACGCGCGATAGAATTCCTAGAGGCATGGCACTCTAACGCTGACAGCATCAACCGCCACGTTGACCTAGACGCCTATAATGAGGGCCTAAGATCTCGCTTCACTAAGCCGAGCCCCACGCCGCATCAGCGGCCGCTAATCCAGGCGCCCGCAGTTCTGCCAACCTGCCGTTTTCCCTCCCCTCTAACACGGGGAGCCGTTACTGTTCTCTCACCCCCTTCCTACCCTCCTGGCAACAGCCCAGCATGACTCCCTACCCGCATCCCTCCTCACACACTAATGGTCCGCCCGTCAATGTTTGTCCTGTCGCGTCTACTAGTCTAATGTGACTGTCCCACTTTCTCTTTTATTTTCATTGGTGTCAACAATTCGAAAATTCAGGAGTACAATTCGATTTTTCCGAAGAACCTCTTCCTTTTTCATTATATCGGATCAGAATGCCTACCACTTCTACTTTACTACATAAATGTATATATATGTAAGATCACACACGCATTGGTATTGAAGCTATCCTAGAAACGTTTGTCTTAATCGATTCATATTCGCGAAGAGACAAACAGCGCTAATTGTGCACGTTTCCGAGACTGGCGCAACAGCTACCAATCAGAATTATTAACGATGCAAAACAATCAGCAAGAGGCTATCTGTGCTAAGAACACCATTCTCCAATTGACTGACGTTTGCAAAAGCAATCCCCTTATGCAACCGTTTTTCCTTTTTTACTAGGCTTCGTTTGCCCTCGAGGGTTTTGAATGCGGCTAAAATGTTGGCTTGCCAGTAATACACGTCTCATTTGAGCCCACGGCATGGGGGACTTAATGCACCAGCTGCAGTGGGCAGGCGGCGCAATGACGATTTTTTCTCATGCATCACGCGCATGGGACCAAGGTCTAACTTTCCTTCCGTTAGTTACTGTTCATGCGCGCCTAATGGCGTTGATTTGCAAGTTTGACCACTATAGACAGCACTACAGTTGACACAGGGTATTTTATAAAGGGCCACTTTTCTATCTAACTTGATTATTTTATCATTTGGATCAAAGCAGTTGCGCTTTGCCCAAGTCGCGTTATCCTGGATCTCATCTCTCTGCGTACAAAACGTATTTTCCGTTAGGTAAAATTCGTCAAGTGTTCGAATTTAACATCCAGTTGGCGTATTTATGCAAATACTTCTTTCTTTGTGTCTTACTGTCTGCCCACAATGTTAGGCAAGTGGATTTATTGGGGATAAATATGTCAAAAATGGACTCATCATCTGCTCCTTTTTCTTACGTCGATTCATACACTCCGATCTCGTTTAATCGGCCTTAGAGTTGTCACGCTGTCAGCGACATACGGGCATTTTTTTTATAATCATTGCCGCGTACTATTTCCTGCGATTAGCTCATGTATGAAGTAGTTCACCAGTCTTATGATATACGAGGAAATGCAGGAATAGAAGTTGTTTACCAGCCTTCGTTCCCAAAGTTAGTTCAAATATGTGAAATAGAGTGTTTGATATGATATGAAGCAGTTTTATTGGTATTTTTTACCGATATCAGCTAAGTCATTCAAATCTTTCAGCCACAATTTTGGGCTGTTTGAATTAATGCGACATCTGATGAAGGAAGCCATACGAGTACCATCTTGTTGCTGAATATGAAGAAAGCAACCGCGACGCTCACAAATGTTTAGACCTAGATTAATAATAATATCCTCAGATAAGAATACGGGGAAGTACTCCGCAGTTCGAAGCAGCACCGACAAGCCGATACACGTTTCCTACGGCACCTTCGGCTTAAAAGTTGTGTATGATATCTTAAACAGGTCGAGTAAGTCATCGTTTTGCCAGACGGCAAACGATATTCCACCATAAATTTTCAGGTTACATGACACATGCACAAAACCAGCATTTCACTTTAAAGTTCGGTCTTCTTAACTAATGTACCGTGATTCAAGATGCACTCGAATGCGTTTAATTGGAGAGCACAAATTAGTCCTTAGATGAAATAAATGAGGGTAAATGGAAGTTTCCCTGGAGCTCAATATTAACTATTGGCCACTACGGTCACGCAGTAGCCAAACGCACAGATGTATTGCGGGCAGCCATCATGGCCAATCTGGTGCCATTGTCCATGGACGGGCTGCCTAAAAGGCCTTCACCCATTGCAGTAAGCCATTCCAGACGCGCGTACCTGAAGCCACGCGACACATTTCAGCTCCGACATACTTTCATCCACGCAGTCGCGGCTGTACATGCGACCACTTTAACGCACCGCCCAAACGCCTGCGAGCACAACCTAAGCCACTAAGACCTCAACCCTGGACAAATGCAACACACTCCGATTGAAGACCACCTGAGCTTGGCCTATTTGCGCACAAAAGCGGCCGTCGCCATTGTCTGGAGGATTCATAGACATGACTGAACGCAGCCAACACCAGCCCTAGCTATGCCGGCGGATTCTGTACATAACAAACCCCTCATTCTGGTAGATATTGCCTTTTCCTACAACTCAACACTTGACCTGATGACAGTAGCGCACAGAGTTCACGCCCTCACCACTGAGGCATAACAGACGTATTGGTGTGTCATCGATACCAATCGTATGTCACATTTAACTGAAGGCGTGTGCTAAACCATTGCCAGCAATCCATAACCCTCGCAGCCTAGTATGCGCTGACAGTTCCCTGACATCCGGTTACCAGCCGGTAGATGTGCTTGCGCTCCCGCTGGGTATACAGGTGGTGGGCATGGCTGCCCAGTCATCTTCGTCCTTCTGATCCCCGTTTGGTTGTTGTTGTTGTTGTTGGTGGTGGTGATGGTGGTGGTGGTGGTGGTGGTGGTGGTGAAAAATCCTCGTAACGTGCATGTCGTGGACCAGGGCGTGTGGAGTGGAACGCCTAGGTGTGGACCCGGCCGTGCCAGCTGCATGCGCCCTTGTATGTATCCAGTCACCCCAATTATAGACGGTTTCAGCAAACTAGTGGTCGTTCCTGAACCTTTTCTCTTACTGTCAGTCGGGAATTCAACTTTTCCCCGTTCGACCGCCCACAATGCGACTTCCTGAGACAGCTGCATGCGGAAACAATGGCTGTGGCAGACTTCAGTCTGTCAGACAGAATACCGATCACATCTCAAATAGATGGGATGTTGGCATCCATCCCACGGTCCTCACCGTCGATCTTTGCAAAAGTTCCACTTACAGGACGTGTATGGCAAGCGTGGGCAGATTGTTCGATTCTGCATTTGGTCTTCTTGACTGTGTGAGAAAGGACGTGTGCAAGACGCTGCAGCTGACAAAGTTCTACGTCATCACAATCGTAAAGCTCAGGACCAAACAACCACACCGGACTTAAGAAGGCCCTACGGAGATAGCCTGACGCTGAGGTTACTCGGTGGGGAAGAACAAGAACCGCCAGACCGACCGCCCGACAGAGGTTCAATCAGCTGCCCTCGACGGAGTGGTGACACACAAAACCCACAGGCAAAACGCCCGTCAGCCAGGCAGCGAGAGGGGGGGAAAATCGATCAGTATTAGGGCTGGCCAACACAATGGCCACTCTCAATTAAATTTCTGATCGACTAACTACATTTCACGCCTTAAAAATGAAGAGCTAACCCAGCTCTTTCAAACGTCAGCAGTTAAATAAACCTGTTCCGGAGAGCCTATCTTCTTCTTTTTCTTCCTCTTCTTCTTCTTTTTCTTCTTCAAATAATCTTCCCGGATCTCTCAAGTTTGCCAATCTAAAAAGCCTGTCGCTCCGTGGACGGCGAGTCCATTTTAAAGTGACCTCCATGTCCTTTGCGCCAACATGAGATCTGATCGTTCACTTTCTTGTTTTCGTGAAGATCTTGTTTATTGTGTGGAAGCACTCGGTCTTCTTGACTGCGTGAGACCGCACCCAGATAGGTAAGAGAAGAGGACGTGTGCAAGATGCTGCGCAATACTACCACCATTCAAAACTAATTCACGCTTACGTCACCTTTCCAATCCCCGACACACTCTAAGACATCCGGTTAACATGGCCGTTAGCAACGGTCGAATTATCATGTGCATTTCGTCAAGTGTTAAGCCCAACAACCAGCTGCATCAGCATCTGACAAAGGACATATGTAAATAGCGGAGGAGCAGAGGTTGAAAAGTAGGCGCACGAATGCGACATCCGAAAATAAATATTTTATCCGTCGAGAATGCATTTGACTTAATGCTGCACTGCACGAAGGTAGCCAAGTCTGCCATGTTAGTTCCCTACCTTGTTAAGCGGGCTTTCTCTGCCTTTGATGACGACTGCTTCGCTAAGGTCTGTCAAACGTTTGTGCGGCCGCAATCGGAATTTTCTATCCACGCTTGGGGACTCTGGATCGCGAAGGACCTCTGCATCCTTGAAATGGTTCAAAGGCGTGCAACGAAATGTGTGACAGGACGGGGTTCACTACTATATGCAACGCGGTTAGCTTACCTTGATATCTTTGCATTGGGTTACAGGCAGTCACTGGGTGACCTGATACATACCTTCTGTATCATACGCGGTCAGAATCGCAGACTTTTACCGGACGATTTCTTCTAGATGGCAACCACCACAAACCTACGAGGTCATCCATTCAATCTACGTGTGACCGGGCCAGAATGGACACACGAAAGATCCCTTCTAACAGAGTACTTGGAGATTGGAACGCTTTACCTCCGGATGTCGTTATGTCTTCTTTCGTCGGGGTCATTAAAGGAAGCTGGATTTGTATAGCAGTGTCCACTTAATTACCACCCCACCTCTGTTACCTTGACAAATACCGTTGTTATAATACTACTTGCTATATTTCGGCGACATTTTTAAATCGAATTTCTTATTGTCTCCAACCCACCGCCTACGCTTACTGACATGCACCTATGCAACTTTTGTCACCGTGGATATTGATTATTTTTCTGGACTCGAAACGGCCGCTGTAATACTGCTCGCAACACTAACACTCGAGTCAGTTTTGTCATCTTTACAGAGTGGGCGCTTTTCCGATTAATTGTTACGTTTATGTTACATTTTCCAGTCTTTGAGATTTCCCAGTTGCTTGAAAATAAGTAGGGAGTTCTAAGGTGAAGACCTCCATTTCCCTCAATAAAACTGAACTGAACTGAAAGGTTTTTGGAAGGGTCTCTGTCAGACGTCCAGCTTTAATAAAACGCAGCTACCACTTTTGGTTTCAGCATGCTCTGACCAACTCACCTCAGTTCAGGCAGCACTGCGTGCCTAATCTGAGCCGCTATAAAAAGTGTCATTTGCTTGCTTGATTCTCTGCACACCTGCCAGACAGGTTCTGATTTGGCTAGCTACACAAGCGATGCTCTCTAGATGAGTACTTTGATGTTAATGGCTGGGGAGTCAGAGTCCTTGGTCGATGAATTTGGCACCATCTTCTATCACGCTTTAAGTAACCGTCTTGGCTCCAAGTGGCAATGGAGGATCGGCTTGCATGGACCTCACACTCCGCACGTGCCGAGAGCTAGAAACTAACACAAAACTGAGTAAACAGGCATATTGTTTTCAAAAAAAACTCGCTGAATGCGAGACTTCGGCGATATAAAAGCAGAAATCAGTTTTCACAGCTCAGCACATCCTCCCTACCTCCAGTGTTCACAGATGAAGCGCCGTCTTGCCGGAGCGATTTCCTACATTCTACTTAACGCCATCGTCAATGGTTTGTGCATTTTTATGTTAAATTTAAATCCAGTAGCACGCCTCTCTTATTTAGCACAGCATTTCCGACGAAACCATATAGTGTATTCTGAGTAGAAATACCTTCACTGACTAATGTACAGTATTATAGCATTTTGATTGCCTTTCACTGTCTACGAAAGTGCAAACTCCGTATTTACTTACAGGTTGTTGTTAACTGTGAAAAGAATAATGCTTCGAAAGATGATAGTTATTACCAAACCTAACTTAGGGTGCGTATTTTTGTAACTGCTACTTTAGGAAATTTTGCGACATGCAGGATCGTGCAGGCGAAAATATAGTTAGCTTATTAGATGCTGATTTTCTTAATTTCTTTGATTCTCATTAGAACAGATGCTGAAAGAGCGCATGTTTCAAATGACACATCTGATTTCCACATACACTCGTGACGTGAAGAGAACGATAAGCTAATGAAATTAAACAACTAAGACTTGAAAGTACCCGAACTATATCTTAGAATCCTAACAAGGCACTGCTATAAGCTCTCTATGACAAAATGGCATGTTTTAGTCACCTTTCAGTTAAACATTCCATTCAGGCCATTTTACTTATCCAAAACGCAATGCTTTCAACATCCACTTTCTCAAAATACATTTCGTGAGCACCATCAATTTAAAAGTAAATACAGGTCGCAGCTGGGTAACGGAATTAAGTAAACTCCGGAAGATAGGCTGTTTTCCGCAATTTCATTAAGTACCGCTTCACGCCAATCCGTATTGTTAAATAAGAATTAAATTCAAATACGTCTCCGCAGGTCTGGTGAGAGCTTTCGAAATCGAGCGTGGTTTTCCAGCTGCTTGCGGGGATCCTGCCATTCAAGGTGAATTCAAAGAGCTAGCCAGTATAACAAAAATCCGCCCAACGCCCCACAGCTGGCCTTGGCACGTAAGCAACCAACGATTAAGTAATAATGTCATTCCTCAATCAAATGTTTAAAAATAGAAGCGAAGCGACATACTTCTTTTTAATTGATTTGATTCGCACATTCAAAATAATATCTTTATACGAGAGCATTCACATTATACATCCTTCAGCAGACAATGATACTGATTAATAAACCTTACAAACCAATCACCTACGACTGAAAGGGGGAAAGCATGTGTCGTTTTTAACTGTCGCCTTATGACGTGAAGTCTCGCAAAACCCCATTTACTTGGATCGCGGCATAAAAGTAGCACAGATTATTCACTGGATCATTTTAATCTGCTAGAATTGTCATATGGCTTAGTAACCAAACATAGCGTATTGAAGGGGCGGGCATTTCCGTAACTTTGTAATCAGTGGTTTTGATTGGGGATCAAAAATAATAGAAGGGTTCTGAATGTGACAACGCTTGTGGCTGAGCTATGTAATCTGACGGATGCAAAATGAGTGCAAAGCAGCAAAAAGCTGGCTTTGAGCGTACGCAGAGGTAATAAATAATAATGGCAAACTAACTGAAGGCTTTAAACTTTCACACAGATATGGCAATCCTTCGTCTTCCATAGCTGTTCTAAACCATTTGCAAAAATGCGACACGAGAGATCTGTCCTCACGTTTAGGGCAAGGGAGTGACGTTAGTTATGTCGTTCCCGCGAACTAACGTACTACGGCTTACTAACCTCATAAACGGAGAGAGGTTAGGAAGGCCAGTACGTGAATAAAGTTAATATTCAAAATGTGCAACGACCTGACCAGAGATCACGCAAGCGGCGCGAAGCTTACAGGCGACGGAGTCCTCGTAACGTTAAAACAAATGCTACAGTAAAACAAACGTGACAAGATTGTCAAAGGTCAAGTAGTCAAGTACTTCAGCACAGATGCACCATGCTTGCAGAATCAAGTGAAGACGATCTGAGTACTGCACGCCGAATCGGCCCCATTGGGATTAAATGTCTAACAGTTTTTCCTCTTTTAAGGTGGGTTTATGGTCGCCGCTGTTTGGTGATCGGCCGTACTGTGGTGGAACATTGATCAGTCGCTCCCTCATCTTGACTGCGGCACATTGCGTCCACGATGCAATTGGTTGCAGATATACTCCATTTGACGGATTGATCGACATGACCATTACGTCCGAGTATCCGCTGTATGTGCTGATTGGTGCTCATGATTACACACAAGCTGATCTTTCTCAGCAATTGCGACGCGTGCAGTATGTAGCCATTCATCCGAAATACAATGCAACCGCGTTTGGTAGTGGCTACGACATCGCAATATTAAAGCTGTTCGAGCCTATTATTCTAGGTAATGTTTTGCACTACTGGCCTGAAATTTTGCTAAAATTATTATAAACTGCTGTATAAATAGTGTCGCTTTATTACTTCGGTTCTCATCCGATAGCAATATCAGCAGTGATTTCTGCTCGTAGATTGAAGTACGGCTTAGCCTGCTGCCGTCGTCTGCTTTCTCCTTTATCTTCGTGTAAATTATAATGTCCTTCTTTAGAGATCACAACATTTCATATCTGTCAGCATAATTTTCACTTAAACTTGTCAAGATGAGCGTGTGTCGCTGATTTGTTTTCCGAGCGGACGCCGTGAGCTGCCACCAGGCTATCCCTGCTACTTCGTCGGTTGGGGAACTATGACTACGCCCTGGTCAAATGGAGAAAGGAGATTTCCAAAGACTCTGAGGGAGGCCATAGTCAAAATAGCTTTGGACGAACGTTGCACGCAAGAATACGGCCGCCAGTATGCAGATAGCAATTCATGCATAGAAACAATAGGCCAGGTAATTCATGAGGGTTGTTCAAGCGCTGACAACGATTTTAACAATTTACTCTTGAAATGCACAGATGCATAAACCCTGTAAAAAGCATTTTTTTTCTGCATGGCAAACGCGACAATGAAAAAAGTGACTGCGTTTGACATTTCAGTCACACAGCGGCAGAATGTCGAGGAAACCCGTGTCTGGACTTTTATTTATGTAGGGAGTACTGTATAATACTTGTGCCGTCTACATATATAGGTATGGATATATGCAAAAATTCCGACCCAGGTGTTAAGATGGAAGGGCTAAATGAGGCAATCTCTGGGGAAGAAAGTTTATTCGTCTGACTTTTCGTACTCATACTCGAACACATCATCGGAGACAGGCCAAATGGGAAATAAATGGTGTCAATATGTCATTCGCGCCCGCGCCTGATAGGTCGATCCCGCACTCCTCTTATTGGCCCTCCTCTCGCACGCAAATGGTGCCTGATGGAATCGTATGACGCTGGTAGGTCAATACTGCGATTGATCGATTTGGCGTCTGATTGATCGAAATGACCACTCCAGTTTCCCTTGTCTTTGTCGGTAATAGCCTCTTGCCTAGTCGTAGTCTTGACGCTAACTATTAGCTAAATTATAACGCCAGCACTAAACCTAATACCAGCCTAACACTAACCATGGTAGCTTCCAGCGCGTCCAATAGTTTATAGTGAGCAAAACGCGCTCACACGTCAAAGTCAATTTTTAGTCCCATGCCGAAGTCCCAACCAATGACAAGGCAGCAGTTGGCCAGACAGTCTAGAAATTTGACGCGGTAACTGACGCCTGACGGACAAACGACTGCGCACGCGCGTGCATGAGCACGCCTTAGCCGCTAAATTAATGATGTACGCTCGTACGTCGCCAAGCACAGTCTAGAAAATATTCACGTGTTCGAGTTTGACGGCGCCCAAGTGCTCGGCCGAGCCGAAAGCAAGCTGGCGAGAGAAGACATCAAAGCCTGACAATCAGACGTCAACTCGATCAACCGCAGTATTGACCTACCAGCGCCATACGATTCCATCAGGCACCATTTGCGTGCGAGAGGAGGGCCAATATGAGGAGTGCGGGATCGACCTTTCAGGCGCGGGCGCGAATGGCATAGTTACACCATTTCTTTCCCATTTGTCCTGTCTCCGATGATGTGTTCGAGTATGAGTACGAAAAGTCAGACGAATAAACTTTCTTCCCCAGAGATCGCCTCATCTAGCTCTTCCATATATAGGTATATATCTGTTATGTTGCCCACAAATGAAGCATTTCTATGGTGGTTTATTTTTTATGCACTCTTTCTACCGAGCCTTAACCTTAAAGTACCTTTTATACACTTTAGATTGCAGGTCCTGGAGACAGTGGCGGCGGACTATTCTGTCCTTCAGCGAATAATAAAGATTGGTTCTGGTATGGACTGTTAGAGAGCCTAGGATCGACCAGGCCTTCAGACTATGTGATCGTCAGCAAAGTCAAAGCTGTCCACGAATGGCTTAAACTGACTGCCATATCCCTGGGCCTGTAATGCGCCTACTAAGGGGGTCTTAATGCTGCTTGATTAAATACATTCTTATGCAGGATATAAAGCTGCATGTCGTGTTTTGCATTCAAATCCTGTGATCAACACTTTATCTAATTTAGACTATTGCAGAAGTCTAGCAGAGGGCTGCTAGACCAAGTGAGCAAATATTTCCTTTTTATATGTGATCGAATGGCAAATCCCCTCATTTGGTGCTACCGAAAAATACGAGAATGAATCTATAGCGGTGTTTAATTATTGTTGCAGTGAGCTCCACTCATTCGGTTTAGCCCAAAGTGGAACGATTGCCAATACATGTCAATGGGTCATGTGAGCAGGTAATTTCGAAGATGCGATATTTCTTTGAAATCTGGTAGCTGAAGAGCCGGAACTTCTTCGCCTTTTGGGTCCTATAGTAAAGGCTTCATCTTCTGTCCAGTTTAAGCATTTCCGGTGATAATCGCGGAGTAAAATGTATTCTGATAATAACAAACACTTCAAAATATAAAAAACGTTTGACAACATTCTTGATCTGCTAGCACGAGCAATTGCACAGAATACAGATTAAGAATGATTTGTCATAGAGATTTACCAGATATAACCGACAATAGCACGCAATCAGTAAGGACAGTGGATGTCAGTTTACCAGATAAGTAAACTCTGGGTTTTTAGCAAAGTTGAATCTGCTGATAAGGATATTGTGTGTGACCTCATGTTAGTTTAGTAGAACACACTGAACAACCTGCAAAATTCTGAATGAGAACCCCAAATTCGGAGGAAAATTAGAAATAGTCGTTTTATATTTTCCTAGTTATCCTTATACAAGTTATGCAAGGATGCTTTGCCTGGTAATTGGGTATGCAAATCGAGCCATTTATTAAATTTTGTGGGAGGCTAAAAGAATATCCAACTACTGGATTAGCTCCGATTTTCCACTTTGATTTGTCATGGTTTTTGAAACTAAGTCACGCGAATGGAAACCGTGAGTGTCATTCTGTTGTCAGGGTGAGAGATGTGTTTCGGTTGGACGCGAGCACCTCCACTCCCAGGGATCCGAGCGGGGTTCTTTACCGGTAGATGCGCTTGCGCTCCCCCTCGCTTTACACGTCGTGAGGATGGCTGCCTAATCATCCCCCCCTGACCCACTGTGTGCTGCTGTTGTTGTTGTTGTTGATAAAATCCTAGTCAAATGTTTGTTGTGGACCAAGGAGAGATGAAGTACGCATAGGGGGCTGCGGCTATGCCAGTCACTTGGGTTACCCCACCGTCTCGACACGCGGTCCAGGTTGCAGGGGTGAAGGGTAGAACGCGATAGATACAGAGCAAGTCTGCTGTAATTATAGAATGAATCACGCGCAAGTCATCGCTGCTGCTTCCAACCTGCCGTAGAGCACTAGTGAACATTGTCAGTCGCGACTGTAGAACTATCGGCAGAACGCCAATTACCAGAGAGATAAGGGTTTGGGTTGAGTTCCAGGTACGTGTGGAGGTTAGGGTTAGGGTTTAGTTAGTATTAGAGTTATTGCTGGAGTTATGGTTGAGTAAAGGGGTTTGTGTCAAGACTATAATTAGGGTTAGCCATCTTAAATAGGCACCGTTCCTGAATATTGATCACGGAATTACGAGTGGGTTGCTATTCCTAGGTGTTTTTATTTCATTCGTAATGTCAAAGACAGGGTGTACCGAAATTGCCATGTTTCGCTTAAACGCCGCCATCGTTAGCTCGACTGGCACCTCATACCTAAACACTTCAAATATCATTCTCGTCATCAATTACTCGTCTGGAAAAAGGGTACACTTGTTGGATTTCAGAGAAGATCGAACGATGTATGGATTTAAAGTAGTAGTAATGGTAGTAGTAGTAGTAGTAGTAGTAGTAGTAGTAGAAGTGTGGTAGTAGTAGTAGTAGTAGTAGTAGTAGTAGAAGTAGTAGTAGAAGTAATGAAAGTATTTATAATGCAATACAAGTATATTTAGTGCCACAGGCAGTGACTTTGACGACTCGCTGAATGCGAGAATTCGGCGATATAAAAGCAGAAATCAGTTTTCACAGCTCAACACATCCTCCCTACCTCCATAAAGGTTCTGAAAACATTCTGGATAGGAAAAAGGAGTAAAGACATGACAGCATCACAACCACCTCGCTCTCTCAAAATTATGCTGGAGAACAAAGAGCAAATAAAGTTGATCCTCTTGAAAAAAAACCGACCTCAGAAACACACACAAACAGGTTTTTTTTAACCGGACTACTCACCAGCGGAACGGCTGAAACGGCGGGAACTTGTCTTCGAGTTAAAATCAAGACTGAAGGGTGGCGAACACAATCTGGCTCTCTTCAAGTGGAAGGTAGTTCGGAAATACATGCCGTTTCAGTGGAACCAGCCTGTAATACTACGAACGACGACAGCTACTCAACTAAAACAGACACCTTCGTTGAACCACCTGATCAAGGCGCCAACACAAGTGAACCCGTAGCGTCCAGTGATTCGACAGAAACAACGGATATAAATGGAACCCATCAGGTAACGGAAGAGCCCAGGGAACATGGCGTCCGAGGCAACGCAGTAATGCTCACAACAGAAACAAATACAACGGGAAATTCGGCTGGTGCCAAATTGAGGTCCTTGTACACGAATGCCCAAAGCCTCATATCGAAAATAGACGAGCTAAAACTTCGCCTTGTCGAGCTGTCTCCGGATGTTTTAGCAAAAACCGAGACTTGGCTGTCCGGGAATATTAGCGATAGCGAAGTAGCCTTGCCTGGATATCAAATATATCGGAGGGACAGGGAAGATCGTCAGGGTGGTGGTATAGTTGTGTATGTGAATGAGGGCCTGGCAGTGTCGGAAAACACCACCAAGTTTGCGTGCGGCACGGAAGCTATTTGGTTGACCATCAAGGCTACCGGTTCCCCGTGTCTCGATGTCCTCACTGTCTACCGACCACCTCGGACAGACCAAATCACCGACGCTCAACTATTTGAGCAGTTGGATATATTTTCCAATCGACCTAACATCATGATCATGGGCGACTTCAACGCACCTGGAACAAACTGGAATACCCTCCAAGCGTCAGGTCCATAATCGGCATTCGATTACCGCCTGTTGAGCAAGACATTAAATGCGTGCCTCACACAACATGTAATGTTCCCAACGAGAACACGTGAAGGACAAAGGGCAAACTGCCTTGATCTGGTCTTTACGAAAACACCAGACAGCATAGACGAGATCACCTCCATGCCACCCATTGGCCGAAGTGATCACGTAGTGCTTATGTGGGATTATTCGTTATTCTCCATTTCACATACTCCAGACAACAAAAAACGGAATGTTTGGCATGGCGACTTCAATCAGATGAAGGCGGACTTATCCGGTCTCGACTGGGGCTCACTGTTTACGGGAAATGCCAACGATGATTGGGAGCTGTTTAAGAATGTCCTTCTGCAGCTCATCAACAACCACTGCCCACTGACTAGTGTAAGACTGAACAAACGCCCTGGGTGGCTAAATAGGAACCTTAAGAAAGAAATCAACAGGAAGCACAAATTGTTGAGAAAATACTGCGTCACTAGGTAAGTTGAATATTTCCACACCTACAAGACACAGGGGAACAAACTAAGGAACCTGATAATGAAGACGCGGCGGGAATTCGAAAAGAACTCTACAGTTACCTCCGACGAAGTCCAAGGAACAGGCATCAAATTCCCTTAATAAGGACTACTGATGGCGTTGAGATTGCGGATAGTAGAGATAAAGCTGCGTATTTTTCACAGTTTTTCCAATCAGTCTACACTAACGAGGCAAGGTTCCTTCCTCCCACCGCAGAAGTACTGCCGACTTCAAGCGTCAGTGATATACTCTTCTCAGAAGGCATTGTCCGAAGGAAATTAGGGACATTAAACGAATCGAGGTCACCAGGACCAGACGAGATTCCACCCAAGCTTCTCAATGGGCTTGCCAGTGAGCTTTCTGCGCCTTTGTCGATGCTCTTTCAAACGTCATTTGACACTGGAACACTTCCTATCGATTGGAAGCTGGCGCATATTACTCCGCTACACAAAGGAGGTAACAGGGCAGCGACGACAAATTACAGGCCCATAAGCTTGAAATGCATTCTCTGCAAAGTTATGGAAAGGATCATAAAGGGCGAACTGATGCAGTTTCTGGAATTTAACGCTCGCAGTTAGGTTTTTTAACACTTTTGCACATGCTTCGCACCCGGCAGCTTGTCACTTTTAACAAGCTCCTACAATTGTTTAAATCCTAATTAAAACCCTTGATGATAAATGCAATGAAAAGCTTGCCACAGCAACACGATATGCGCAGCTACTCAGCCATATAAGACGTTTAGCACACAGAAATTGCCCAGTATAAACTTTGCGCCACTTTTCTACTGCAAATAATTAATACGGAGATTTATGAGAATTAACGTCAAAAGCGGACAGTAAATGCGAAGAAGAGTATCCGCTCAGATCTAGTTAACTTCAGTTATTTCGCGAATGATCGACGTGTTGAGTATAAAGGTCAGTATCACTGTCCACTGAATGGTGTATCATAGTAGGGTTTTCATATAAAAATAGTAATTTAATTATGTGAATCAAATCATGTAAAGTAATGTACCTCTTTCGTTTTCATATTTTATTAACAAAAGTTTTATTACTGAATCGTCGGTTGCTTACTTGCCAGGGCCAGCTGTGAGGCGTTGGACAAGTTTTTATTCTCGTGATCTTATCGTTGTATTTCCGTCGAATGGCTGGATTCCCACAGGCAGTTGGAAAATCGCGCTCGATTTCGACAGCTTTCACCAGACCTGCGTTATTTTATTGTACGCATTGGCGCTAAGCAGCACATAATGAAAGGCGAAGAACGGCCTAGTTTCCTGCCATTACTGAATTACACTCTCCACCTCCAACGCGTTTGCATTCTTCAATCATTCGTGAAAGCGGACGTGAAACGCATTGACTTTTGAGCAAGTAAACTGGACCGAATGCATTGCTTAACTGAAAG